TTATAAAACAAAGCATCTCGAATAAATCAAAAGACTAAAGACGCAAACGTGTATGGTATAAAATAAAGATACATTCTTCTTTGTATACTTTTTAACAGGAGATGAGCAAAAAAAAACTAAAACAAATAAATTAAAAATAAAATTACAAAACTCCACTTTTCAGACAAAACGGCCGTAGAAGTGTATAAACATTAAATAAATGTATGTTCTTATGGGAATAAGCAACACATTCGCCACCTGTCTACTCAGTCCAAGCTGATTTATTACAATTTTCGAAAGCTTAAATGTCCGACAATGATTATTTGGCTATATTCGAGTGGCCGACCATTCTAACCGCATACACTTAGTGAGCGCGGCAGCATCATTACAGCGACACTGACAAATATGTGTTGAATGTCTTTGGCTTGAATGAAATGCACGAGTTGAGACGAAATTATGATGGATTTGAAGTTATTTTTCAAAAAAAAAAATCGTTTTTTTCGCTTGTCCTTTAAAGTTTTTTTTTCAAATTATTCTTAACATTCCAAGGTTCTTCTATTCGTTTTTGTTTTGGTATATATATATTTTATTTTTTATTTTATTTTTTTGAGTTCTTACTGTCAGAAAATTTGCTATTTACAAAAGTTACTTACGTTTGTAAATTATATATTAATAACATACGTGTGGAGCTGCAAATCGCACCACAGATTTGGCCATTTTCAAACACACAAAGATTATATAATTATGTAGCCATGCTGACTTTCATTTTTTGTCAGCCAAGCGGTCTCTAATTGTTTTTTTAGAAAATTATCAATTATTGGTAGTGCATAAAAAAATGTCAGTGATTGTGCTTTAAAAATATTATTGAATTCAAGCTCAAACTTAAAATTCTTATCATTTACTTAACTTTATATTAACAATAGCGCTGTATTGAGCTGCAAAAATTTAGGTTTTCGCACAAACAAATCGTTCAAATACTAGTATTATCTGGCCATTTTAATGCCATTATTGTTAGTTTTCTGTCTCTTGAGAAATGAGGAAGTGAACGAATGTGCGGATAAAGTGTCTGCTACGAGTGTGGAGAAGCTGAATTTAAGCATACGAGCCACTTTGCAAAATTTCTCATATCACAAGAACACCAAGCAGACACATAACAACGAGGAAGAGCTAGTTTCAGTTTCGAAATCCTCACAACTTGGCGACGTTCGAATATGTTCGCCCAAATAGCGGATAGTTTAAGATAATGATCAAATCCGGAATCGGTTCCGTAGCCATCGATTGAGCTCTTGATTAGAACAGTCCGTCTAACCTAACTTAACATACCACATACATATGCTTTACTAAAAATTACAAAATTTTTATCACAAAAAGTCTGGCGTGTGCGAAAATAATTACTATTAAATGAAAACAAAGTGGGTATTTTAAAAATTAGGTTCGTGTTTTAAGTCTTTGGAATTTTCTGATCCAATCTCCGTTTAGCTGATGGATGCTTTTTACATAATTAATCAACAAAAACAACCACAGCAACAAAAATTAAAAAAAAAAAATATTTAGTATGAAATTTTGAAAAACCAACCACAATAATAACAACTAAAGCCAGCAGCAGCAGCAGCGTATCAACACTATCATTTGTAATTTAGCAATATGCGGGTTGTAATGGCTTTACGTGCGCAAAACGCGCCAGACATGCTGGCTAGCTAGCTGGCTAGCTGGCTATGTGTGTATGTGAATTAAAAGCAAAGTGTAGATCTATGTGTATGTTCAACGCGCGCTTAAGTGCCCCTCACGTTGCAATTTGCACACAAAAATTCAAAATATTTTTCTTAATCGCACACCAAAATAATTATATGGTAAAATAAAAATAAATTAAGTTTAAAACAAAAAATTTAATACTAGCTATATAGCGGCGCTGCACCGGCACAAATCGCTTTACGATGCAAATCAAAAAAAATTTCCAATCGCCAATCTTTTCTTCATTTAACTCGCCGACGATTTTCAAAACAAAATTAAGAAGAAGAAGAAAAGAGCTACAAATTTTGCATGCAGTTGCACCTTTAAAATCGATTAACTTTGTACAACTATCCGTTAGCATTTATCCACATACATATATTTATATGGGGATGTGGGTTTATGTATTTCTGCTGCTTATGTAAGTATGTGTGTGCGTGTGTTTGTACTTCAACATACATTTGTACTTACATACACATCTTACAGTTTTAACTATTTGGTGCTCATATGTATGTATGTGTAATTTTTTTGTAAAAAAAAAACCATAAAATTACATCAATTGCTTTCGACAACAAACAAATGTCGAACTGAATGGGCTTAGGGAGTCAAAGCGAATTTTATGCGCATGGCAGCAATTTCCGCATGTCATAGCTACACAACAACAACAACAACAACAACAAAGGTAACAGCACTTTCGTTGCCCCCTCACACCCCCTATTGCAGCGATGTACATTTTTTTTTTGCGATGTTAAAATCTCACATCTGACACTTTGATGCTTACATACATACATACTTTCATATGAGTGCAGTACATGCTCTGATATCCAATCGCTAGGCAGACGATGACACTTTTCACTTTTACTTGTGGAAATACACGTACATGCAAACTTTACTTCGAAAATATGCACCCTGCAAGGAAAAGTTAAAAAAAATAATTTTGACAAATTCTAGATTGCTCGAGGAATGATCAACTTACGTTAGCTGAACTGGCTGCAAAACAGATTCTTCACATGCACCCGAAGCTGGCTCTCCGTTTCGCTTAGAGCTTTTATTGAACGTTGTTTCGCTAGTTTCAGTAATTTCCATTTCCACGTGTCAGCTAGCTCTTACAAAACGTAGGAAGCAGATCCAAAGTATATCAATCGTTATATGTAGAATTTTGCATAGTGTCACCGGCGAAACTGAAATGTACACTAAGAAAAAAGTAACATGGTTTATTTCAAACAGTGTCATTTTTGGTTTTTCCATGTTAGCGATTAGAAATTTTTGAACAGAAAAAGTATTTTTTTTTGTATCAAACTTAGTGCGGTGTTGTCAAGAAATTTTCCATAAGAATCAATTCAGCTCAATAATAAAATTTCAAACAATGGCACTCTGTAACTTGTTCATTTGTTGTCGTCCTTCTTGACATCATTGTTGTTGAATCCATTAAATAGGCTAGGTGCAAGAACTGGTGGGAGTCTGACTTTTCATTACCATCTTAGCCCTAATGACCAAACATCCAGTTAAGGAGACTCTTTTATGGGTGACTAGATCACTGACTGCTCTAAAACACTGTATCCAAATTTTTGATCAGAAGAGGTAACTATATAAAGCATTGAGGGTAGATTGCCTTTCCGAAAATATAGATCTTTTACCTCTTCGTAAAGCTGAGGATGGGATCGATTTGGTCTTAGAACAGGATTTTGTGCATGATGACCTCCTTTCAATTTAAGATTTCAAGGTGTCCGATAAGGTTGCCTGGTTCCAATTTACTTTTTCTATGTAATGTGAGTGCTTGCGTTGCCGCTTCTTCTTGTATTGCCACCCAAAGGGGTGTAAAATTGAGGAGGGCTTCCTTACTAGCTGTGGGTATTGTTTTCCCTACGAGTTATTTAGTTTATGTGCCGAAAGAAATCAAAGTAGGAACTGGTTATCATAATGAGAGATAGTCAGGCGTAGATCACTAATCTTCTATTCTAATTAAATGCGATGTATTTGGTTGCAGTGCGATCACATTCACTTTCTATCCCACTAAAGCTCTTTTGAACTTTTTGGGGGCCTTAGGTTTAATATAAGTGTTGTGAAGTGTGTGTTGGAACTTAGGTCGCAGTTCCGGCTGGCATCTAGAAGGTTAATTTAAATGCTCTCAAAATTTGGGTTCAATTACGATAATTTTTTAACGGACTGAATCCAAATCTACCCGCTTGAACTTCTTACTTTTTAAGCGGAATAAGCTTGAACTCGTGCTGGTACCGATATATGTCGAGGTTCAGGTAACCAGAATCAGTAATTGGCCAAAATAGAAAATCAACTTTATCAGTTGTATATACTATATTATAGCACCGACAACTGCAAACGAATTCACACAGTGTTTATGAAAATTCTTATGAGGACAGCAGCAGATTTTTCTTAAACAGAAAAGAAAGGACCTACGAGAGCTGATGGGGTTAGTTACTTTAAAAGT